TATTCATGATTTGCGTAGCCCCCCACACCTTGAGTGTGGCTTGCTCTTAGTGAATAGAATGCAGCAAAAGTGATAAAATATTGGTTCCAGGATCAAGTTATAAAGGACTGACTTCTATCCTGCTTGCACTCTTTCTCATTTGTTCACTCTGATGAAGCCAAATGCCACGTTGTGGAGAGGCTCACACAGCAAGGAACTGAGGGAAGTTTTGGGGAAACAGCTTAGTGGAACTGGGGCCTTCAGTTCAACAGCCTGCAAGAAAGTGAATCCTGCCAACAGCCACTTGAGTGATCTTGAAAGCAGATCCACCCCCAAGTTGAGCCTTAAGATGACTTCAGCCAAGGACAGTAATTTGACTGAAGTGTTTTGAGAGGGCCTGAACCAGAGGATACAACTAAGCTGCACCCAGATTTCTAAACCACAGAAACTGGGAGATAATAAATGTTATTATTTTAAACCACCACGTTTGGATGTATATGCCACAACAGATAAAGAATACAGCCAGGAATCATCCCATCTCCACTTCCCACCTGTCTAACTCTTATGTGTCTTCAGTCTCAGGTTTAAATGTCATTTCTTCAACAATCCTTCATGCACCATCAGGTGTCTTCTTTATACTCTCATAGTATCTTCTTTTTCTCTTTTGAAGAACTTACCACTATTGCAATTAATTCATTATTTGAATAAGTATTTGTTTTATGACTGTTTTCCCCCAAGACTTCCAGTTCCATGACAGAGCAGGCTATATTTTGCCCATCGTTGAATTCCCAGAACCTAACATGCACTTAGCACAGCTTGGGGATATAGTAATTGTAGAATAAACAAATGAGTGACTAAAGGAAGTGAACAAAAGCACCACAGTTCAGACTGGAAAGCAAGAAAAGCTTTCCTGTGTCCTACTAGGCAGTTACCAAAGTCTCAGCATAACCAGATTTTATTTTTAAAATACTGACTGAAAAACAAATAAATATGTTAACATATTGTAGATGAAATTCTGTTAGAACAAAGTGCATGACAATGAAATTCTCTACACAAATAAAAGGCCCAACAGAAGGTGTTGTAGTCCGTGACTTTGATCATCTAGAAGATCTTCATAGTTTTAATGGGAGTTGACCTGCGTAGGAAAGGATCAGAGTGTGAAGACAGGAGACATGTTAAACTGAAGCTGTCCCGGTCATCTCTAGGCTGGGACTGGCTTTTCTCTGCTCCTGATGTGAAATCTGGGAAAGGTGATCAGGTTTTTCTATGAAGCTAAATGCTAGGAGGAAGATTTGGACATTTGAGGATAAAGCTGTAATCACAGAAAGGCAAATTCAGTCCTATTGTTTTAGTTGACTAAATGCCATCCTAGGATTCTTACAACAGTAACATTCTATGATCAGCAAGCAGGTTTGTATTCCATCTAGGGAGCTGGTTTTTATTAGCTGTTCATATCTTCCCTGCCTACCAAACAAGGCTCAAACTCACTCCCTAGCTGGACCTTAGGGACTCATCTGACCTTTCCAGCCTGCTCTTCTATTGCTCCCTATGCTCTTGCTGTACAGCAATCACAGGGCACATTTTTCAACTCTGTCCCTTTGCACATGTTCTTCCTCTGACTGGAAGGTCCCTGTGGTAGTTAAGGTTGTGCATCAGGTTGGCTGGGAAGTGGTTCTGAGTGCTTGGCAGCTGGTTACAGTTATTCCCCACGATGAGATTGGAATCAACTCCATGGTGGAATCTGCTGTGAGTAGCTAATTAGCTGTCTTTATGGTGTGGCCTCCTTCCAGTATATATGGGGAAGCTTTGAGGAAGTTCTCTGGCTTTTTGACATGTCTGGATCCTGCACTCAGCCAAGTCTTCATCTCGGTGGCCTGCTGTGTTGCCTGCCTATCCTGGGATTGTTCCTAGACTTGAACTAGTGGCCTGCCTTGTTGCCCGCTGATCTTGGGACTGTGCCATTTTGCCTGCCAATTTTTGGTTGGTCAGCCTCAGCAGCCAGTAGCTGCCTGAGTTAGGAGACGCCTCTAGCTCCAGTGGGCCTGGAATAAGAGGCAGAGCTTAAGTCCAAGGTCGAAGGCCTTCTAAACTGTAAGATAGTAAATTCCTGTTTGTTAAGCCACCCACAAAGGAGCTCTGGTGGCATAGCGCCTAAGGCGTTTGACTGGTAACCAGAAAGCTGATGGTGCAAACCCACCAGCCTCCTTGGAAGCAAGATTGGGCAATCTACTTCCATAGAGATACCATCTCACAAACCCAAGGAAGGGTCACTATAAGTCAAATTGACTTGATGGCAGTGAGTTTGCTTTCTTTTTTGGTTTAAGCCATCCACTTGTGGTAACTGTTATAGTAGCACTGGAAAACTAAGACAGCCCCCCTTCATTGATACCCAACCCCTCCCAAGCCAAATTCAAATCAGAACTCTCTGGTGCCCCTGGAAGTGGGTGATCTAACGCTCTGTCCTCTTGGAGCACTTTCTATTTGCCTCTTTTATGGCTTCTGGCATAGTCAATCTTGTACTGTGACCATGCATGTATTTTACTTATCTTCTCTACTACACAGACTATATCCTCCAGGTTGATGGTCTTTTTTTCCCCAACATAACCTACCATCGGGTTTTTGGGATGGACTAGAGGCTTAATACATATTTGTTGTTAAGTGAATAAATTAAGGTATAAATGAGACATGTATGTTAAAAGGGTTTTAAATGAACCAGATGGACTTTATATCACAATGCCAACAGTTGCCATCAACATGGAAACAAACAGTCCAAAGGACTAGTGGACCTCAGCCTATATATATCACCATGAGACCTGAAGAATTAGATGGTGCCCAGCTACCACCATCAACCACTCAGAAAGGGATCAATCAGTGCAGGAGATCCTGGATACAGTAGGAAAACAATGTGGAACAAAACTCAAAATCATGGGGGGGAAAAGAAAACCCATTTACTGGTCTGACAGAGTCTGGTGAGACCCCGAAGACTATGGCCCCTACTTACCTTTTAGGTCTGAAATTGAACTCACTGCAGTGGCTTCCAGTCAAACAATAAAAAAATAAAAAAAACTCACTGCCATTGAGTCGTATCAAACTCATAGCAACCCCTCCTTGGGTTTCCGAGGCGGTATCACTAGGCAAGTAGATTGCCCAATCTTCCTTCCGAGGAGTGGCTGGTGGATTTGAACTGCCATCCTTCTGGTTAGCAGTCAAATGCATTAGGCACTACACCACCAGAGCTCCTAGTCAAAGAATAGAAAGGCACATAGAGTGAACATTTATACCAGGTAGATACACTCCTTATAGCAATCAATCCTGGGAGAACAAAAGGGCAGTGTTTGCACAGGGAGATAGGGGCGCAGGAATGCACAGGAAAGAGGGACACAGGGAAGAGGTGACTACAAGGAAGAAATGGGAGGTGAGCTGTTACACTCTGGGGAATTGCAGTCACTGTTATGAAACAAAATGTGCATGAACTGCTGTATGGAAAATGAATTTGTTCTGTAAACTTTCATCCAAATCACAATAAAAATTAAAAAAAAAAAAAAAAGGTAGCTGCCAACAAGTAGATTTTGACTCACGGAGACTCCATGTGTGTCAGAGGAGCACTGCCCTTCACAGGGTGTTCAATGGCTGATTTTTCAAAAGTAGATCATGAGGTCTTCTGAAGCTCCTCTGGCAAACTCCACTTCCAACCTTTTGATTAGCAGCTGCGTGCATTAACTGCCTTTACCACCCAGGGACTCTAATTCAGCCAGAGTAGCAGATTTAATGTTCAAAGGTTTTGTCTTTTCGATTATGAAATTTTGTTGTCAATACTACCAATGATGCTCTCTCAGAAGGCAAAAATGAACTTAGAATCCTGAATGAACAATGTTTCTTTATTAGTCCACTGAGTAAATGTTCTAGTACATTATTCTAAATAGTCACATAGAAACCAAAGAAGTAAATAATGATGAGAACTATTAGAAACTGGAAAATGAAATTTGTAAGTGCTTTTTGGAATTCTTCAATAGTCTATTGTTGAACTTATAACAAAATAATTTGAGCAGTTTTTTTTCCTTAAATTTTTATTGTGATTTGGGTGAAAGTTTACAGAGCAAATTCACTTTCCATACAGCAGCTCACATACACTTTGTCTCATGACATTGACTGCAATTTCCCACAATGCAACAGCTCCCCTCCCACTTCCTCCCCATAGTTACCTCTTCCCTGTGTCCTTCCCTCCCATACACTGCTGCCCCCCCACAGCTGTCTCTTTCTATTCTATTCTCCCATGACAGATCTCTCCCAAGAGTGTATCTATCTAATGTAAATGTTCAGCTTATATGCCTGTCTTATGTTTGGCTGGAAGCCATAGGAGTGGGTTCAATTCCAGACCTGAAGGGCAGCTAGGGGCCATAGTCTGAGGGGTTCAATTAGGCTCCATCAGACCAGCAAACCTAGTCTCCCCCTCTTTTTTTTTTTTTTTTTTTTGAACGATTTTGAGTTTTGTTCCACATTGTTCTCCCACTCTGTCCAGGATCTCCTACATAGACCCCTCCAAATGGTTGACAGTGGTAGGCCAGGCACCATCTAGTTTTTCTGGTTGCATAATCGTATAGGCTGAGGAGCATGGTGTACCAGTTGCTCGGACTAATTGTTTCCATGTGTCTTTGGTTTTCTTCATTCTTCTTTTCTCTGGATGAGAAGAGACCTATCATTGCATATAGATGGCTGCTTGCAAGCTTTTAAGATCCCAGGCACTACTTGCCGAAGTAGGATGTGGAACCGTTTTTGTGTAGTATGTTACGCCAATTGAGCTTGATGTCCCCTGTGACTATGGTCCCGGACCCACAGGTCCAACTATTCATTCCCTGTGGGTAGTTGGCTGTGGTCAAGAAGTGACTACAACCTTGAATTTGAAAAATTTTAAAAGATTAATAATAATAACCACAAATATTAGACTTAAAGTGTTAAATCAAAGCAGTTTACTTCAAATACAGTGACTTAATTACAGAAATGGAGTGTATTTAGAGCATTACTTAGGAGGACAGTGTTTTCATGGTTAAGTCCATTGTGCTCTGAACCCTGGTGTTATTTCTGTCCATCACAGAACATCTCCCAGATGGTTTCATGATTTCTTCTGGTTCAAGAGGTTGAAGGGTATGGGGGTTGAACAGACTTCGAGGCTCCCCCAAGATGCCAACTCTGTGAAAATAATTATTGGTACAGCTGAAGCAATAAGGCCAAAGATCAAGGTGTTTGGTTGTATGTATGTATATGTGTACTAAATAGCTTTGCTTGTGTCTATGAGCCACCACTGTAGTCTTACATATGGGTCCAAAAACTCAGTCCACAGCAAGATTTTGTATAGGGCCTTCCCGTACTACCCAAAGATGATTCCTGCAACAGGAAATTTCGGCCTTAAAAGGTCTGTTTAGACTTTTTGGAATCTAGCATAACTTTCTAGGATTTATTTTTTAGTCTAGATGGGGATACCTAGAGATGTCTAGAGAGGAAATAAATGGAGAGGAGCAAGAGATGTCTAGAGAGGAAGCACATGGAGAGGGACGGGGGCTAGGTAGGGAGGTAAGTGTTTTCCTCTTTGTTCAGCGTTCTGACAGAGGCCTAAGTCTCATCCCCCACCCTCCCCTGCTTGAACTAGGAGGCAACGCTCAGGGCTCCTCCGCCTCTCTCCTCGGGCCACTTACACCGGCATGGCTATGGAGTCCACGTGCTCTGTGTGGCTTTGGATCTGGATTGGACGTTTGATGTCTGCATAGTGATGCTTCTTCTCAAAGATATGCTGAGCTTTTTCTCTGGGAGAAGGTAATAGAGTAGACAAGACTGGGGAGCGCATGTTAATGGCTTTTTTAATCGCAGGGCGTTTTGCCATCATTCTCCTGTGGCAGGGAGAAAGGTGACATTTAGGTTATATCATCCTGTTTTCTTGAAATGGCCTTGAGCTTAGGAGGGAGTCAAAAGGTCATACCTGAATTGCACAAAAGTCATGCGTTTCTTTTCTCCCCCTGATTCTTCCTCTTCACGCTTCCTTCGAGGAATATTGAACATATTGGTGCGAAAGAGTCTGCCTATCTCTTCTTCAATATCTGTCAAGTGTTGACGTCGGAAGACAATCCAGGCTATATATGTACAGAAAGTGAAAAAGGCCTAGAACAGAAAATAGACAAGAATCACAATCCACAGCTATGGAACGGAAAGTTCCCACCAGTCAATATAACACTGCTAAAACCAAACCAGTTGCCACTGAGTCAATTCCAACTCAAGGCAACCCCATGCGTGCAGAGTAGAACTGTGCTCCATGGGGTGTTCATGGCTGTGACCTTCAGAAGCAGACCGCCAGGCCTTTCTTTGAAGCCTCCCCTGGATGGGTTTGAACTACCAACCTTTAAGTTACTAGTCAAGTGCTTAACTGCTTGCACCACCCAGGACTTCATATGACGTTGCTAAGTAGACTCAAACCCATATGGCTCAATTTCTCAATATTCCCAGGAAGCTGTGGAAAATTATACATGTAGTCACCATTGCAGAAGGAAAATCAGACCAAATACTTAAGGGCTGGCATACAGCTTCTTAACATCCTTTTCAGAAAGGACATTTACTAAAAATAAGTGACTGACAAATGGCAACTGGCTCTTGCTGTACTTACTGTTTCGTATCAAAGAGATAAGCTCCAAAACATAAATGACTCACCTCAAAGAATTTCCAGTCTTTTTGTGTATCTGATATTTTCTCCCTACAATGTAACAAATCATAGCTGTAGTTTGAGATGGAAGTTCAATGTGTCAGTGATCTAGACAAGCTTTCATCATCCCCAAAAGGCCCCTCTGCAAGGTCACTACCCCATGATTATCTGAAGGACATAGATGCTATCAAAAGGAATTGATAATGAGTTTCAATCTTTCCTCTTCACCTTTCTAAGTCACCCAAATCAAAACCTCTAGAGTATTTGTTTAAAAGTTAATCAATTTAAATTTAGCATAAACAAGCCACAGAGGAAACATATGCTTCCAAATCCTTCTGGTGATGTAAGTATGGGCATGGTGAGAAGAGTGGAGATGGTGAAGAGGTAACACAAGGTATTGAGTAGGTATGGAAATAAAGAACTAGAGGATAAGTCTAAAATGAAGAAAAAGAAATCTTAAACAAAGGTATGGCTATGGGACACCAAAAGAAAACTGACACAGGTCTAGGCCATGCAATCAAGAAACTGAGGATAGTGTGTGTTCCTCCTTCTGACTGAGATGTGGAGACTTGAGCCTTATCTCTTAAAGGCAGCCATTTGCCCAAGAGTCTTTGCAACACAAATTCAATGTTAAGGATACTACACTGGCACGAGCACACTCAGTGAACTTGGTCTCCCCTCTCCAACAGGCCATTCTGATTGGGATTCCCAGCCTGAAGAAAGCAGGCCTGCCCTCATCCATTGTTGGTGAACATGTAAAGTGGTACATCTGCTGTAAAAAAGCTTGATGGTTCTTTAAAAGGTTAAGCAGAATTACCATATGATCCACAAGTCCAAAAGAACAGAAAGCAAGAACAGAAACCAAGACTTGTACACTAATGTTCACTACAGCACTATTCACAGTAGCCAAAAAGCCAAAATAGCCTAAATGGCCTCAACAGATGAACACATAAAAATAATGTGATACAAACACACCATGGAATACTCAGCCATAAAGAGAAATAAAGTCCTGACATATGCTACAACATGGATGAGCCTTGAAAACATGTGAGCGAAACAAGTCAGTCACAGAAGGACAAGTATTGTATGTTCTCACTTACAGGAAAGATCTAGAATAGGCAAGTATATCGAGATGAAAGTTTATCAGTTGCTACTAGACATGAGCAGGCAGAAGGGGGAAAGAAAGACATAATGCTTAAGGGACACTGTGCTTCTGTTAAAGGTGATGGTGTCATTCGTCAACAGGGAAGAGTGAGAGTTGAACAATTTGATGAACATAATTAATGTCACTGACCTGTATATGTGAAGATTGTTCAAATGTCAAATGTTTTGTTACATATATATTCACCACAATAAAAATAAATAAAACTGAAAAAAAGAAGAAAGTAGGTGTGGCCTGCGGAGGCCTTGAGAGTTGACGGAAGGGGGTGTGCACCTGCTGTCACTTGATCAGTCACTTGATCAAAAGCCAGGCACCAGGCACTCTAAGGTTTAGCTTCTGCTTTTGCTTGTGCCTTCCTTGGAGTTAACAGAATCTTAGGATTGGCCCTGGTACCAGCTCTTTGGAACTATCCTAACTCCTATCGTCTGACGAAGATGACCAAATCCCTCAGGACCTCCAGCATTCTCACAGGGACATCATGGTATGGCTGAGCCCAAACTAGCCCTCCATGTGGGGGATGAGGCTGCAGAGGTGGTCCAGCTTTTACTGGGGCTTGTCCCTCCCCACCTGCAGTCTCTCTTTATTATACCCTGGTTTCCTTGTGTGCAGGTCTTCAATAGAGAATTAAGGCAACAGTAATTACAGTGAAGGGTTACTAAGTGCTGACTATGTACCAGGTACTGTGCTAAGCCCTTTTATCATCTTATTCAGTGCTCATAACATCCCTATGATGTAGCCAGCATTATTACCCCCATTTCACCAGTTGCTGTTGAGTGGCTCTGATTCATGGCGACCCCACATGTGTCAGAGTAGAAGTGAACTCCACAGGGTTTCAGTGGCCAATTTTTCATTAGTAATTAGCTAGGCCTTTCTTTCAAGGTGTTTCTAGGTGGACTCGAACCCCTCACAGCTGAGAGCTTTAATCATTTGCACCACCTAAGCGCTCACTCCATTCCCACTATAAAAGTCAAGGAAACTGAAGTTGAGACAGGGTAAATACTTGTCCAAAAGAATATATATTTACTTCTTTAATGTCCTGTTTCATGTTGTTATTTTGTGTGTGTGTGGTAAATATATAGGTAACAAAATATCTGCCATTTCTACAATCTTTATGTGTATAATTCAGTGATATTATGTTCATCATGTTGTTCAGCCATCCCTACTAACTGTTCCCCAATTTTTCCATGCTTAACAGAAACTCAGTGTCTCCTAAGCATTGTGAAAAAAACATTTCTCTAGTTAGAGGCAGAGCCTGTCAGTTATCCACATCTGTCCTTGTGACCAGAATGGTAGGAAAACAAGCCTTTTCTTTAGAATATATGGCAGTAAAACAATTAAATGACCGCAGCCCAGCAGAAACTTTTCAAGGCAAGGATCAGCATTTCTTCTGTACCACCGGGAATCTCTACCAGACAGGAGCACTTATTTCTGCCCTTCCATTTCCTTGGTCAGCTGAAACCAGAGACCATGTAGCCCTGTAAAGCTGACGTGGAAACCAACTGTGGTAGTTAAGTTGTGTGTCAATTTGGCTGGACCTGGTTTTGAGTGATTGGGCAGCTGGATGTAGTTAATCCCCAGATGACACTGGTAATCAGCTCCATGGTGGAATCTAATGGAGCAGCTGAGTAGCTGCCTTAGGGATGTGTTCTGCTTCCAGTATATAAGCAGCAGCTTTGGCTTTGAGAAAGGTCTCTACAGCTTTTTGGCACTCTTGGACACTTTGTGTGGCCAAGTCTTCATTCAGCAGCCTGCCATGTTGTCTGCTGACCTTTGGATTGTTCCTAGACTTGAACCAGTAGCCTGCCGTGTTGTTTGACGATCTTGGGACTGTGCCATTTTATTTGTTGAGCTTGGGATTGTTAGCCTCAGCAGGCAGCAGCTACATGAGTGAAGAGATGCCTCTAGCTCCAGTGGGCTGGGAACAAGAGGCAGAGCTGAAGCCCAAGGTTGAGGGGTTTTCACCTAGCCCCTAGGACTGGCACTTTGAATTCAAGACTTCTAGCCTCCTAAACTGTAAGAGAATAAACTCCTGTTTGTTAAGACCACTCACTTGTGGTATCTTTTGTTAGAGTGGCATTAAAGAACCAAACCACCAACTGAACCACGATTCTGAAATACCAAGGCAGCCTGCATTCTGAGAGAAGGTTTAGGAGCACTTACATTAGTACAGCCTAAACTAGTACTATCTCAGCAAGATTTTCAAAGGATAGAGGAATAACACAGGAAACACACACTTTCTCTCCTTCTCTTCCTTCTTTTTAAACATGAAATGTAAAAAAAGAGAAGACAATATGAATTTCCTCCCTTTGCTCTGAAGTTGCTATAAACATTGTACTTCTTTTATCTTTTTAAGCCTAAAGCAAACTGAGGTAATCCACACCACAGAAATTAAATACAAAACATAATACATTTCCTCTTGCCTTTCTGACTTTGTAAAAAGCTTTTTTTGTACTAAGTCTTTGGAATACACTACATATTTTACACTTACAGCATATCTCAACATAGACTAGCCACATTTCATGTACTCAATAGCCCCATGTGGCAACTGACTATCATTCTAGTCAGCAAAGGTATATAAGAAGTCCTATATTCCAAATAATGAACATTAATCTAAGAGTTGATACATAAATAGACAGGCTAAATGATCAGGTATGGGTAGGCAAACGGAGATATACCAATGTCCATACATAAATCTGGCAAATGATATTTCTATGTATGTTTATGTATGTGCTATAAGAATGTCCATATATGTAATAGAGCCAACAAGGTAAGGTTATGATAACTTCTTAGCCACAGCCAAACACCCCGGGGGAGTGAATCACTGGGCTTGCAGGCTCAGGACCATGGTCACAGGGAACATCAAGCTCAATTGATATAACATACTACACTAAAGCACTGTTCTACATCCTACTTTGGTGAATAGCAACTGAGGTCTTAAAAGCTTATGAGTGGGCATCTAAGATGCAACAATTGGTCTCTCCTTGCCCAGAGCAGGGAGGAATGGGAAAATCAAAGACACATGGAAACAATTAGTCCAAGAGACTAGTGGACCATGTGAACCTCAGCCTACATGACCCTGAGATGAGAAGAACTAGATGGTGCCCGGAGGAGGTGGTGGCAGGGATACAAGTAAGGGGAAGGACCCAGGCCCCACCCCACCCCAAGCGGCAGGAAAGCCGGGGGGTGGGGATCAAGGTAAGGGGAGAGTGGAGAGGTTTCGAACAGCTAAGGGAGACAAATTTGTCTGTCAGTTTGTCCTACTGTGATGGCGTTTTACTGTGAGGCTTGAGGTTGTGCCACCGGTGTTTCAAAGCCAGCAGGGTTGAACATGGTGCACAGGTTTCAGTGTGGCTTGCAGACTCAGACAGACTAGGAAGAAGGAAGAAGCCATACATTTCTCAAAGAATTGGCCAGGGAAAACCTTATGAATAGCAGAGAAACACTGTCTGATACATTACTGTGTAACTTTATGAATAGCTTGGAAACACTGTCTGACACAGTGCAGGAGGGCAAGCCACTTAGGTCAGAAGGCTCTCAAAATACTACTGGGAAAAAGTTGCGTCACAGAGTAAAACCAACCTTACTGATATGGATAAAGTAAAGCTTTCAGGACCTCCATTTGCTGACTTGGCATGACTCAAATTGAGGAGAAACAGCTGCAAACATCCATTAATAATTGGAACATGGAATGTACGAAGTATGAATCTAAGAAAATTGGAAGTTGTAAAAAATGAAATGGAACACAAAGATTGATATCCTAGGCATTAGTGAGCTGAAAGGGACGGGCTTTGGCCATTTTGAATCAGACAACCATATGATCTACTATGCCGGGAATGACAATTTGAAGAGGAATGGCATGGCATTCATAATCACAAAGGATGTTTCAAGA